GTAGTTTTAGATTGTCATGTAGTTTCAATTTTGCAGGATAGGACTAAAAAACAACTGTTACTCTGGAAATAATATTCTAGTTTTAGCTTGTCTGGTATCCTTATGAGTGAATTTCTTTCAATCTGCAGAACTGGACTAGAATATACAAATTAGTCACTTTAAGATATTCATGCAACTATAGAGATGCTGGCACTAAAAATTTTTTTTCTTTTTCGTCGCTCAATGATAATTTTTCTAGAAGAAACTAGAACATTAGAAAAGTAGACTCGTTCAATTTTGGTATCCAGTTTATTGGGTTGTAAATTTGCCAAATATCTCTTACGATAAATGTAGATATGTAAAGATATGTGACTGATATTTTGATTGAGCAAAACTTCATATGTAATGACAATGCATCGCAAGCATGCCATTACTTCTGATTATGAAGAGACCGTGAATTTATGATTGTGGTATAATATTTTAGAGATCTTAGGAGAGTTTGCATTGTAAATGAACTGTTTATGTAACGAAAGAAAAGTGGTATAGCTGTGTACTTCATTCATCAAAGACTGGGTGCAAAAATAAATGTGGGATTTTGTTAACAGTCTTTGCCTTCAGTAATGAAATTATATTTTAATTGATTAAGTATACAAATTGAATTTTAAAAAAAATAAGACTCACGAGAAATGGAAGAATCTAAATTAAAATGCCCGGGAAAATGGTCCTGGAAAGATAAATTGTGAACAGATCTTAAACACATTGAGTATCTATGGCATTCAGCTACTCGAGGTCTTGGAATATAAAGTTGATTTGTTGTTGTTTTTTTTTCTAACCAAAAACTAGTTGCAACTACAACTAATTTATTCATCAACGGATTTTCTTTGCATGGAAGCCATCAGGTCATAATTTCGGCTTCTAAAAATTCAGATAAATCTTGTGATGGATCCGTGACCGGCCCAATCTCGAGCCCATAGTCGTTTTGGCTTCTTGTCAGCGGTATAGTCGCCAAATAGTGTCATAATGTTTTAATTCCACTCCGCCCCCCTTTTTATTAGTAGCTCCTTGTCACCATATCGCTGACAAGGAGCCAAAATGACCCTGGGCTCGAGATTGGCATAAGTCACTTTGAATAGAGAATTGTATAGTTTTTCATTGGATAACATTAATCAAGGTCAGCTGAGAGGAGGCTGCGGTCAGGTCCTATCTACTAGTGATAAGTATGACCGTCGAGAATATTGAAGGCTGAAAAAGATGTAAAAGGCTATTTCATTATTTATTAATCAATGAGCTATCGGTAAAACCACGGTTTTATTCCCCATGCCCCCCTTTTTATTAGTAGTTCGAGTTCTTTCAGGATTGTACGTCAATAACTTATACCTTTGTTTACAGGCAGAGTTCTACACCTCGCGTTCTTTTGTATGAAATTCATGTATTTGTATATCATCTGCTTTTCATGAGGGCTCTAATCTGAAATGAAATTAACGAGGCATGCTGCATAACGAGCGAATTCATCAAGCCTTATCTAGTGATTTTTGTTTCAAATCTTACAAATTCACGAGCTAAACTTTTGTGAAGCCCACGTATCTAATCACTGCTGAGGAATAGTTTTTATTTTACATAAGGAATATTCATTGCAAAAACATATTTTCATCTGCTCTCAGTAACAGAAAACAATGGAGCACGAGCCTATTGTTAAAGAGCTTGTTGTGAGACTTAACTTCGGCTCCAAAAATAAAAGGTCACAAGGTTCGATCTGCTTGGTTGGCGGACATAAAGAGCTATCATACTAAATTTTAATCTGGCTGTTTCTCGGAATCACAGACAATACACAGTGTGTTTCATTTCGCTCTGATTTCGTTATCTGCTTTCGCGATGGAGTCTCTTGAAGAATCTCAAAAAACATGTTACTTGTCCTATTTGTTTGCAAGGCTAAGCACTTCCGATGTAGTTGATTCGTCCTTTTATTTCTCGCCCAGATAAAAATGACTTTTACTATTTTATAATTAGAAATTCTTCCTTGTGACATCAAATACTATTTACGATAAAAAGCTCCTTTTTATCTGCTATCAGTTACAGAACAAGAGCCATTCTTAAATAAAAGTACAACTTACTGTGTTACTTACATCTGTTCCAAAAATAAAACGGTCACGAGGTTTAATCTGCTTGGTAGGCGAACATAAAAAGCTATCATATTAGATTTTAATCTGGCTAGCCTAGGTGTAGCCATATCCTCCCCATTCACCCTGGCGGAGGGGGGGGGAGGGTAAGGCTTCATGTAGGCTGTAATCTGGCTGATATTTTTTTGCCTTCGTGGGTCATTTGAAGCGTCTTTTTACGAAATTACTTCTGGCCGGAGGCCGTTAAGACATGAAAGGGAGGCAAGGCTTGCATCTTGATGGCCGCCAGCCACGACCTCCTCCGCTTCAAACTGGAATTAACGCCAAAATACTGAAAATCTCTTCTAACTAACAACGGTTGTTGATCGAGGAGATGTTGCTCTATCTCTTCGCTCCCTTTGTTCTCAGTCTTAACGGCCTCTGGCCAAAAGTAATTTTGTATAAAGACGCTTCAAACGGTCCATGAAGGCTAAAAAAAATGCCAAATGAGTCGATTAACATTTCATTTATCTTTATTGAAATATTCAGACCGGGAGGTACTTTAGATATACAATTTTCAGAGCTTTATTTTCTTTATTCGTAACCCACAGAGATTTAGTCCGTCTCAAGTAAACACTTGTTATTAACCAAGAACACTACGTGTGGTCTGCCTGTGCACAAACAATAGTCACGTGTGTTTCGTTTCGCTCTAATTTCGCAATCTGCCAACGTGATGGAGTCTCTCTTGAAAAATCTCGAAAAACATGTTACTTGTTCCATTTGTCTGGAGACTTACACTAAACCTAAGACCATAGCTTGTCTTCATACATTCTGCTTGAAATGTTTAGAAGAGCACGCTTTGAGAACCCAAAGACAAGGACGATTTCGATGTCCCGATTGTCAGGCGGAAGTGAACATCCTAGAAGGAAATTGTTTCGGTAATTTGCCGACTGGTTTTCTGCAAAACAGTTTGTTGAGTCTTCTCG